AGAAGTGGAGTGACGAGGATTACGAAAAATTTCAGCAAAATTGCAAGGCTACCAACCTAATGTATTGTGCCTTGGGTCCAGAGGAGTATCACAAGGTTGCAGGGTGCAAGACAGCAAAGGAAATCTGGGATAAACTCCAGGTCACGTATGAAGGTACTTCTCAAGTCAAAACCTCCAGAATAAACTCTCTTAAACACCAGTTTGAACTTTTCAAGATGGAAGAAGGAGAATCAATACGACAGATGTATGAGAGATTTACAAATATTGTAAATAGTCTGGAAAATCTGGGGAAGACTTATGAGAGTGGAGACCTGGTTAGAAAAATACTGTGGAGTCTACCTGAAAAATGGATTCCTAAGGTTACAGCTATTGAGGAAGCAAAAGACCTTGAAAAGCTGGCTATTGATGAATTAATTGGGTCCTTGACCACGCATGAGGATAAATTGGGGAAAGGAGTTTCTGATGGTGTTGACAAGGGAAAAAAGGGGATTGCATTCAAAGCAGTCAGTGTGACAGATGAAGCAGAAGAATTAGAGGACATGGAGGATGAGGAACTTGCATTGTTAAGCAAGCAGATCAGCAGGTTGCTGAGAATTCGAAAGGAAAAGAAGATGGGAGGATCAAAAGTCAGGGAAGCAGATAAACATGATGGGGTGACAAGATTTGGTCAGCCTCGAACATTTTCAAAGAACAGGAATGATGCAAGTCCCAAGGGTATTGGTTCCACTGGATGTTTCAAATGTGGGCGATCAGGGCACATCAAAGCAGAATGTCCACTGCTTAAACGAGAAAAAGCGTATGCTGCCACTTGGAGTGGTAGTGAGGATGAAGGGGAAGAAGAAGATGAAGTGACTGTGCACAGATCGTTCATGGCTGTAGCAGAAGGATTGGATGATGATGAGGAAGTACTTGAAAGCCACCAGTCAACTCAGGTAAGTAATCTGAACTTATATAAGTTAAGTGAGACAGAAGATGAAAGTGATGATGAAAGCCTAGCTCAAACTATTAAAGAAATCCAATTAGAATTTGGTAATGTGAAAGTCAAATATATTAAACTTAAGAAAGAAAATGAGATAAATATAAAGAAAATAGAAGAGCTAGAGTTGAAGTTAAAAACTTGTGAAGTAAGTAACTGTGAATTGATGAATGATCTTAAGAATAAGGAAGTACAAACTATTAAACTTCAACAGGAATGTATAAGTTTAAAAGAACAGATTCAAAAGAAGGAAGTTAACAAAGCTAATTACTATAAGACAAAAGTAAATCATGATTCAGTAAAGAAGTTAGAATGTTATTATTGTCATAAAAGAGGTCATTTGATAAGAGAATGTAAAAAACGTGTCTGGTCAGAAGCTAAGAAGAAGTTAGGTGAAAACAGTAGATATGTCAGGCACTTTCATTCATCACCAGAACCCAAGAAGATCTGGGTTCGAAAAACTACATGATTTCTGTGTATGCAGAAGTGTCTTCAAGTGAGCATGGAGACATCAAAATGGATCATGGACAGTGGTTGCTCACACCACATGACAGGTAACAAAAATTTATTTTCAAAACTTGACCTAGGTAAGTTTGGCAAAGTATTCTTTGGAGATAACAATTCAGCAGAAATAATTGGAAAAGGTCAAGTTGGTTCTTGTCCTTCTATAAAAAATGTGATGCTGGTGAATGGTCTAAAACATAATCTGATGTCTATTAGTCAAATGTGTGGAAAGGAGTGTAGAGTCATTTTTGAACCTAACTGCTGTTATGTAGAGAATATTAACTCGAAACAAATTCTGTTCACAGGAAAAAGGAATGGTAAAATCTATACTATTGATCTAAGTGATAAAGACAGTTTTAATGAAACTTGTTTAATGAGCTTGGACAGAAATGTGCAGGAAGACTGGCATAGAAGACTAGGTCACGTCAATGTGAGCTCTTTGTCAAAATTAGTTAGGCTAGGTTTGGTTAAAGGATTACCCCAGATAAATGAAAAGAAAACCTTTTTCTGTGATGCATGTGCTAAAGGGAAACAAACCAGGTCCAGCTTTAAGAGCAAGACTGTCATATCCACTTCCAGACCTTTGGAATTGCTTCATTTAGATTTGTTTGGACCCACTAATGTGATGAGCTATGGGGGAAAATCATATGCATTTGTAGTAGTAGATGACTACTCTAGGTTCACATGGGTAGTGTTTTTAAGTAAAAAGGATGAAGCCTTTGAAAATTTTAAAACGTTACTAAAACGAATTGAGAATGAAAGCATGACTAAAGTTTACAGTATAAGGAGTGATCATGGAGGAGAATTCTCTTCTGATCCTTTTGAAATATTTTGCAATGAATTTGGAATCTTTCATAACTTCTCAGCTCCTAGAACTCCCCAACAAAACGGAGTAGTTGAAAGAAAAAACAGAACCTTAATTGACATAGCTCGTACCATGCTACATGATTATGGAATTCCTAAGTATTTCTGGGCTGAGGCTATAAATACAGCTTGCTATGTGGTTAATAGGGCGTTAATTAGATCAGGATTAAACAAAACTCCCTATGAACTATGGAAAGGGAGAAAACCTAATCTAGGGTACTTTCGTACCTTTGGATGCAAGTGTTTTGTCCTAAACACCAAAGATAATCTAGGGAAATTTGACGCAAAATCAGATGAAGCTGTGTTTTTAGGGTATTCCAACTCAAGCAAGGCATACAGGATATTTAATAAACGGACCCTCAGAGTAGAGGAGTCCATCAATGTAATATTTGATGAAGCTGTTGTTGAGATTTCAGATGTATCAGATGATGATGATTTTGGATTGGGAAGAACATTTGTAACCTGTTCAGATAAGGGAATTGAGGATCAAGGTTCAGTACAAAAGTCAACGGAGCATCTGAATGTTGAGTCACAGAACCAGAACTCACATCCTGAGGAGATTGAGAGTGAATTACAGTCTACAGGAAATATAGAAGAAGCCAGCACAGCTCCAGTAATGTTACAGCCACCGGCTCATATTGTCAAGAGACATCCTGTTTCTCAGATCATTGGACCCATGGAAACAGGTATCATCACTAGATCCAAAACTCTGCCTTCTCATACAGCTTTTGTATCCTTGATTGAACCTAAGACTGTTAAAGAGGCATTGTTAGATGAATTCTGGACTGCTGCCATGTTTGATGAAATGCACCAATTTGAAAGAGCTAATGTGTGGGAACTTGTTCCAAAACCAGAAGATAGGGTTATCATAGGAACTAAATGGATTTATAAGAATAAAACAGATGAAATAGGGGTGATTACCAGAAATAGAGCTAGGTTAGTTACTCAGGGATACAACCAGGAGGAAGGAATAGATTTTGATGAGACTTTTGCTCCAGTAGCACGTCTAGAAGCTGTCAGAATGCTATGTGCTTTTGCTAGTGCATCAAAAATTAAACTTTATCAAATGGATGTTAAAAGTGCCTTTTTAAATGGAGATTTAAAGGAAGAAGTCTATGTAGCTCAACCTCCTGGGTTTGAAGATCCTAACCATCCTAATCATGTCTATAGACTAAAAAAGGCCTTGTATGGGTTAAAACAGGCTCCCAGAGCCTGGTACGATAAGCTAAGCTCTGTGCTATTAGAAAATGGTTTTAAACGAGGGTCTGTGGATAAAACTCTTTTCACCAAACTTAAGGAAGGACAAATGTTGCTAGTTCAAGTATATGTTGATGATATAATCTTTGGAGGAACTAGTAAGGAAATGTGCATAGGTTTCGAGAAACTGATGAAAACAAACTTTGAAATGAGTCTTATGGGGGAGTTGAACTATTTTCTGGGACTACAAATAAAACAGACTTCAAAAGGGATTTTTATAAGCCAATCTAAATATATCCAGAATATGTTGAAACGGTTTGAGTTTGGAAATCTGAAAACAGCTGTTACACCTATGGCAACGTCCCAAAAAATTGATAAAGATGAGTCAGGAACACCAGTAAATGAGAAATTCTATAGAGGACTAATAGGGTCTCTCCTGTATGTGACTGCTAGTAGACCTGATATCCTCTTCAGTGTTTGTGTATGTGCTCGATTCCAGAGTGCTCCCAAAGTAAGTCATTTGTCTGCTGTCAAAAGGATTTTCAGATATTTGGCTGGTACTGTTGATTTAGGTCTGTGGTACTCGTGTGAATCTAGTCTGGAATTAGTGGGATACTCTCATTCTGACTATGCTGGTTGCATAGTCGATCGGAAAAGTACATAAGGTTCATGTCAGTTTATGGGGTCGTCTTTGGTAGCTTGGTTCAGTAAGAAACAGAATTCAGTAGCTTTGTCAACTGCAGAAGCAGAGTACATTGCTGCTGGATGTTGCTGCACACAGCTTCTGTGGATGAAATATCAACTCCTAGACTATGGGTTAGAGTTTGGTTCCCTTCCTGTACTGTGTGATAACACCAGTGCCATTAACATGTCAAAAAATCCTGTGCAACATTCAAAAACCAAACACATAGAAATTAGGTTCCATTTCATTCGTGAACTGGTTCAAGAAGGAATAATTCGTCTTGATTTTGTTCCCTCAAATTATCAATGGGCAGATATCTTCACTAAGCCTCTAGGATCCGATTCCTTCCTAAGAATCAGAAGAGAGCTGGGTCTTTTTTCCTTAAGTGATATTACCCTTAACTTACCTTAACTTGGAGATTGCGAGCTCCTATGCTTTAGGGCTAAGTCTTGCCATATTTCTCCGCTTTCCCTTCTCTTTCTCGACCTTCCATTTCCATGTTTCCTTCGAGTCTATAAAGCTCTTCTGCTTCAGACTCGATATCATTCTTCAAATCAGTTTTCCAATTTTCCTTCAAAGCTCGCATCCTGTGTGCTTCAAGCAACTATGGCTGGTTCCAATCAACATGTTGCCTCTCTGCGACTGGCTCAAGCAGCAATTTTCAATGGGAAGGGTTTTGAGGATGCTGCGGGGTATGCTCGATACCTTATCAAGTTCCAAGATCGTGCTCTAAGTCCCTCAATCACTTTGGATCCAACTAGGTTTAACAGGTATGGAATGGATATTCCACGGCTGATTAATACCCTAGGTTGGAAAGATATTCTTCCGAATAGGAATTTTGGCTTTCGACCTGAAGCTGTCAGGATGTTTTATGCCAACATGAAGCCATGTTTCCAGATTTCTCCACCGTGCTTTACTACGATAGTTTACAACTATCTAATTACCATTAATGTGGAGCTGCTATCACTTCTCCTTGGGATTCCTGTTGCTGGGGCAGAAGTTCAAAACGAATCTGACTTTTCCTCTGTCGGGTTCAATGAAGGGGATGCGCTGCGCTTGTATGCTCGTGATACTGGCCGCTATTACCCTTCTGATTTTCACTCTGGGAGGCTCCCTGATGATCTCAAGGTGCTCCACTATTACATCACGCGAGCCTTTTTACCTCGTTCCCATGGCTTGAACACTCTTTATCCCTCGGATCTGTGGATCCTTGCAAGTGCAAAAGAAAATCGAGTCATCAGCTATCCCCACCTCATGTTTGATCACATGATGAACTATCATGATGCCTATTATGACGCAGAACTTCCGTTTGCGCCTCAGATAACGCAGATTCTCTTGGCTCTAGGCCTGGATTTGCGTTTCAAGGTCGCTAGAGTTGATATTCTGAGTTCTCTGCGGGCTCAGTTTGTACTCCGGAAAGTGGATGCATCTGTTGGGCGTCGTCGTCCATTAGTCAATGCTCCAGGGGGAGAAGCAGCTACCAATGCAGTTCCTCCTCACGAGGATGGACTCAGTCTCGCTGACCTAGGGGAAGAAGAGGCAGAGGAAGCACCACCTGAACAAGTCAACTGTGCGAGGGTAAGGGATAATGGCAAACAACCATTAGTGCATCCCTTGGAGGTAATTCAAGCTATGTTTCGTCTGGAAGGGGAAGCAAGTTGCAGCAGAGATCAGATGCAGGAAGATGAGGAAGGCATATCTGATTATGTCTCTTCACCTGAATATGGGTTTTAGTACGGATATATGTTTTAGGGGGAGCTAGTTGAGATGGGATCTAGTTAAGTCTGAGTCTGAGTCGCCTGAGTTAAGTCTGTGTGTCGTTTGATTAACTCTAGGCCGAATAAGTAACTCTATGCAGAGTTGGTCTGTCGATTGTCATAACTCAGCATGTCTGAGTTTGAGTCAAGTGTCATTAGGCTGTGTCTCGTGTATGGCTGTTTGAATTTTAATAATGAAATAAACTCCCCTGTTAGGGAATAAAGTTCGACTATGATCAAATTGTTTGTTTATCAAAGAGCAGTCTGCACGTAACATGTGTTCTAGTGTGTGCAGGAACTGCATTAGCAGCTGAACGGATCATTGACTGGCTTAGGGGGAGAATGTTGAATGAAAGCCAGTCATCGACCCACGAAGACAAAAATCCATTCAAGTGGCTGACTTGCTAATCAAGGAATGCATTTACAAAGAACTACCAAAATCAGAAGGAGTAGATACGGTACAGCTACAGAATCAGATCAAGGAAGCCTATAAAGGAAAGTAATTCAAATGAAGAAGAGAGTTGCTGAATCAGGAATAACGGCTAGTGGCAGAGAAGATAAAAGGCGGGCAAGGAGAAGAAAGAAGCAACTTTTCGGGTGATCATTCGTTGGAGAGCACAAGAGGAGTTTTGTGTTTAACGAGCGATTAGAAAAGTAGCTCTAATACAAGATCAGGAGTGGTACGGTATTAGAGGGTGTGTCATAGGACACAGTAGCTGGATAGCTGAGTGAAAAGTGAGTCGTGAGAAACAAAGTTACCTTCCAAGTGAGGTTGGTAATCTGTACAAGGTTCGGAGCAGTCAAGAAGATATCTTAGTGAATTGGCGAGAATCACACATCAGTGATCTCTCGTCCGTGGATTAGTCAGAGCTGAGTTACATTTCCTCTCAGCTCTGGAAACCACGTAAAAATCCCTGTGTATAACGTGTGTTTTAAGTTCAGCAGGGATTCAAGCTTCAACCTGTTCCCAGCTGGGTTCGTGGTTGAGAAGAAGGGGAATTGAATCTGTCCAAGTGAAGAATCAGCACCAGACGTGTGAAGTTAAAACGCACCGGTTTAATTAAGTGGATCAACCACTCACATCAAACAGACTCGGGCAACTTTAGATTTGGGCTCTTGGTTTTGGGCCCAACCTAAACTAACAGATCAGTTCTTTTCTGCTTGCATACTTTGTTTTCATTTCTATTTCCTTGAGTCGCATAATCTCCTTGATCGATCTTGATCTTACCAGAAGCGAGAGTTAGGGTTTCAGGGAACACGAGAGGAGCCAAGACAGGGAGGCATCTCGCGCTCGACGCCTGATAACAGAACGGTCCTGGACCTGGTCAGGTTACTCGGTTTTAACTGGAAATCGGATTAGGGCTAAATATCCCCAAAGCCCATAAACCCCAGCCTAAATCATCCCCCCAACGCCCCTAGCCCTAATCCCAAAGAACGATTCCCAAACCCACACTCTGCCGCTTCCACTTCTTACTCGTTCTCTCCTCTCCGAGACGGCGATGGCGAGAGACAACGACCACATTTTCCCTCATACTAGCGACAGAACTAGGATAGGGTGCGGTAGAGCAATGTGCCACATTTGAAAAGAGGCAGAGAATACTGGGCCCTAACCCGACGAGCACTAAAATGAAGACCTAAACTCAAAAATTTACAAGTATTATACTAGTTTTGGATCTAGACGAGGGTTGGGTCGTGGCCTGGGGCGGCTCTCTGGATCCACCACTGCCTGCTACTCCCGACATGCATGGGAAAAGAATAACTAATAGTGGGAGATAGGCGATGTCGAGATGACGATGGCGACGCCGCCGACCATCTTTCCCCCACTACGTCCTACATGCAAGGCGAAAGAAGAATCGGTGGTGGGACATAGGCGATGGTGAGACGGTGATGGCGATGCTGCCGACCACCTTCCCTTGCTACTCCCAACATGTAAGGGGAAGGAAGAATCAACGGTGGCAAGACGGTGACGCAATGAGGGTGCCCCTGTTTGTAAGTATATCAACGAGATCATAACTTTGCTGCTGAATCGACAGTGAGGAAGACAACGGTGGAGGTGATAATTTCGAATTCGCTCGAATCCACGATCTCCCAAGTCCCATCCGAGAGGAGAGGTGAAGATGCCCCCATCCTCTTCGTCCTCCTCTGCTTTGCCGGCGTCGCCACGTCGACACTAGTTTGCCGGCGTCGAGGAGAACGCATGAGTGAATGAGTTGGATTTGGTTTCTTAACGAAGAGGCAGAGGGAGAAGAAGAATCACGAATTAAGGTAGAGAAGTGAATATGTGCGGGTGACTTGTGAGAGGTGGGAGAGGGGTTTTTTGTTTTATTGTTTGTCCAATTTTTATCCAAACGGTGGTGTTGTGGCGGAGGTAGCAGTTTTACCCGGTTTTTGGTTGAAATCGGATACCCATTCAATCCGTCTTCGGTTGTGCTATTTGTCAAAATTGTTTTAAAAATTTGGCTAATCCGGTTTGGTTGATTGTTTTCCACCCAAAATAAAAATAGTCTAATTTATCCTTAAGATTACGTGTTCAAGTTTTCACGACCCCCAATATTTAACTATACATAATGAGATTTTCATTTCTAGTGATGTCCAGTTCTTTAAGGATACCTTTCTTCAAGGAACTAGTCACAAGCAATACCATACCCTACCCTCAGTCTTAAATCCTGCCTCTTTGATGATTTCAGCCCTTCTTACCAATCGAATCGACTGCATAAAGTTTGGGTTAATCTATCTTCTTATGTTGCCTACCAGTAGGTTTACTCGCTGCTAGAGCTGCCATGGGGTTTGTGGTGACAATGGTGGGATTTCAGTTGAGGAAGAACCTTGTGCTCAACCCAGATGTCAGGTTCTTTTGGAAATAAAATAATTATTTCCTTTATACTTTGGTGGCACATTTAGGGGAGAGGGGATTTGGACTTTGGGGTTTCCTATTTTGAGAAAGGAAGAGACGTTTTTTATTGGCCAGTAGGCGACAGAGAGAGCTAGGAGAAAAGAGATTTTTTTATTCTTGCTTTGAGCTTTGTTGCTCTTGCTTCTCTTGGCTCTACATTTCCATACACGAATAAACCATCCTATTTATAGGCCTTCCCCAACAAAAACCAGCAGCATCTCATTCAATGTCGCAGTTGAAACCGCTTAGAAATTCTGGTTCCAATTTCTCCAAGTAGCCAAGCTATTAATTCAGTTTTACACACAACAAACACATACATATTTTTTCCTTTGACACACCAGTACACACCACAATGTCACTTAGCTTCTAGGATGATCTGTTTTTTATTAATTAAACTTTATTTACATTTCAACAATCCCCCTTAAAGTAAAATTCGTCGTGACTCCGAGTAGCGTCCTCATCTTGACGAGCACGTCTTGCTCCAGCGGCTTGGTGAATATATCAAAAATCTGATCTTCAGTCTTCACATACTTCAGCGTCACTTCTTTCTGCTCCACATATTCTCTCAGAAAATGATATCTTGTATCAATGTGCTTACTGCGATCATGGAACACTAGATTCTTTGCTAACTCCAGGACAGACTTGTTATCCACAAATATTTCATTCGACTCTTCTTGTGTCATGTTCAACTCCTTCAGCAACTTTCAGAGTCATATCGCATGACACACACACAATTTCGCAACAACATACTCAACTTCACAAGCAGATAATGTCACTATAGCTTGCTTCTTTAAACTCCATGTGAAAGTTGTATCTCCGAGGAAAAATACAAATCTTGTAGTGCTTTTGCGATCATCCACATCTCCTGCCCAATCACTATCGCAATATCCAACCAATTTGAAATTTTCTGACTTAGTGTAAAGTAGACCATGATCGATTGTACCTTTGATGTATCACAATATCCTCTTGGCAGCATTCCAGTGTGACATTGTCGGTGCCTCCATGTATCTGCTGACTAATCCAATTGCGTAGAGAATTTCTAGTCTAGTACAAGTCAGATATCTCAAACTTCCCACTAGGCCTCTAAACTCCATTAAGTTTACCTTCTCTACTTTGTCATCCTTGAATAATTTAAGTTCACACTCAGCTGGTGTACTCACAGGATTACAGTTCTCCATCTTAAATTCTTAAGAACCTCTTTGGAAAAACCACTATGTGAGATGAAAACTCCTTCCTCCTTTTGACTAACTTCAATTCCAAGATAGTATGACATTAATCCAATGTCACTCATCTCGAACTCACGAACCATTATTTTCTTGAACTCTTCAAACATTTGAGGATCATTGCCTGTAAAGATGAGCTCATCTACATACATGCAAACTATCAATATTGCTCCCCCTTGCACATTGTAGTATAAGGCATGCTCATGTGGACATTTGCTTAATTCGTTCTGCTGGAAGTACTTGTCAATCCTGCTATTCCAAGCTCTCGGTGCTTGTTTTAGACCATACAATGCTTTCTTCAGTTTCAACACCTTATCTTCTTGACCTTGAATGACGTATCCAAGAGGTCGCTCAATATAGATATCTTCCTCAAGATATCCATTCAGAAAATATGACTTCACATCCATCTTATGTATCTTCCATCCATTTTGAGCAGTGAGAGATATCATCATCCTGATACTTTCCATTCTCTCCATGGGAGCAAAACATTCATTATAGTCAATGCCTGGTCTCTGACTATATCTTTTCGCCACTAATCTTGCTTTGTGTCTGACAACTTCTCCTTTTGCATTCTTCTTTGCTTTAAATACCCACTTCACACCAATGGGATTCTGGTTCTCAAGGAGTGACACAAGCTCCCAAGTTTTGTTCTTCTCAATTGCTCCAATTTCTCCATCCATGGATTTTCTCCATTTTTCATCTTTTATGGCTTCTTCAACATCCACTGGTTCATTATCAATGAAATGACAATAAAGAGTCAATTCATCACCTTCAATGCTTGTTGTAGCATCGTATAGATCTTCAAGACGTTTGTACTTTTGTGGCCTTTCTCGGGGACTTTCAATTGATTCTCCTTCTGGG